TTATATAATCTGGATTCAAATGTCTAAGATCATATTTTTCTTTAATAAATTTGAACTTGATATTTATATGCTTTGTTCTTTGGTGAAATTTTGGATTCTTGACTAATTTGATTGTCAATGAAAAGTGTCATTGGCTTTCTGATTACTTCTTCATCTAAATCTAAAAATAATTTTTCTATCCATATCGCCTCTTTAGTGGCTTGTGACGCAGCTATGAACTCTGATTCTGTGGTTGACAATGAAACCGTTGGTTGTCACTTCCTAGACCAAGTTACCCCCGTGGTCGATCGATGAGTCTCTTCGTCACTGGCACAGTCCATATAGCTGGGTATTTTCTCCATATTTTTCATAGCAAATACCATAGTCTATGGTCCTAATTAAATACCGAATAATTCTCTTGATATAATTCCAATGTGAGGTTGTGTTATTATTGATGTAACGGCTTACCACTCCCACCGCATGTGCGATATCTGGCCTGGACACCACTGCCAATTAGCATATTGTTGACCAAAACATTGAATTATTTGTTTTATCTAGTTCTTTTGACTCAGAACCATTTTTCCACTTTCAATATTTCGTGTACTTTGACTTTGAACACCCACTTTGAATCAATTTTCTTCTTGTCTTCTGGCAATTCAACCATTTTCCATGTTCCATTCTTCAGTAGTGCTTCAAGTTCTTCATCTATAGCTTTTTGCTACTGAACTTTTTCTTCACATGTTACTGCCTCTCTATAGGTCAGCGGAATATCCCTTTCTGTGAAATTCACCTCGTAGTATTGTAATCTTGATGGTAAACGAATATTTCTTCGAGGTCGTGAGTTTGGTAAATTCACTTCCGAATTCTCCTGACCATTAATTACTTCCCCCTGTTCATTATCTTGCATTTCTTCATGATATTGTATCTCAGGTCTCATTTCTGCTCTATCAAATACTGTAACATTATCACTTTCTATTTCAAGTTTAAATGAGCTGTTCTGTTCTTCATTCTGTTTAACATTTTCAACTCTCTCATTAGAAACAACATTTCTTGAAATAGTTACCCTCTGTGTTTGTGGATTAAATAATCTGTAGCTAGTCAGTTTTTATCATACCCAACAAACATTAGCTTTGACTCTCTGCATCAAGTTTTCTTGGTTTCTGTTCTGGTCATGCACATATGCATCACATCCAAATATTCTGACATATTCAAGTAATGGCTTCTGTCCTAACCAAATTTCATAGGGTGCTTGTGTCATTATAATTCTATTTGCTATGTATATGGCAGTACTTAAATACTCTGCCTATAAGTATTTTGGTATACCTGCTTGATATAACATTCAACGAGCCGTCTCAATATTCAGTCTATTATCTCGTTCTGACTTCCCATTTTGCTCTGGTGTGTATGGTGCGGTTTTCTCTTGTTTTATTCCTTCTTGCTATTCTATCCTTAGATCCCTTGTTTATATATTCGGTTTCTCCATTTGTGTGTCAAGATATTGACTGAGCGGCCAAACTTTCAGTTCAAATTTTAACTATTACCGGCTCTTGATTGGCTTTAGGAAGGTTTATCAAAGAATCAAGAGCCGGTAATAGTTCAAATGTTGATTATTACCGGCTCTTGACTGGATCCAGGAAAGTTTTCCAGAGAATCAAGAGCCGGTAATAGTTCAAATTTTGATTATCTGTCTCTCTTGAACCATTGGATAATTTTTCTTGAGCCAATTAGAAGCTGCTGAAGAAGAAATTTTGATTAATATCAACTTAAGAGCAGCTAATTTCGAAAATTCGAAATTTTGATTATCGGCTCTTGAGCTTTAAATGTCCTTAGAAAAATTCTTTAGCGAATCCAGTGTAGTATAACATACCTGGGTTCGTTCAGTATGATTGAACGGTGTGAATTTTTAGTACCTTTTAAACAACAAATCTTCTGAAAAATTAAATAAAAAACAAATAGGACCTACGTTGTTGAAACTTACTCAATTTTACTTACTGGACATGCGCCCGACATAGCAAATATTTGGGAAATTTAAGGGAAGTTGTGACATGTAAAAGAAACGAGAAATTTGTGAAACGTCTACTTTATTATTAAAGTAAATCGTACCGTTCTCATCCTGGAACTAACGAGGGGAAAGCACGGCAGAGAAACCTTCGATCTAACATTCCTCAAAAATCGAAACATACTGTGTTATTTTAATAATAATTGTGATTCATTAATTCAATAATTTAAGTCAATAAAAGTTTAAATTAGGTACCGTCCCTGTTCTTGTGCTAAAATTTCAATTACACACACTACCTATATTCATTTCTGAAGAGTTTTTGGTTAGTTAGCCAGTTTCCCAGCAGGTACTGAGGTCCCATACAAAAAGCTACTCAGCTATAGTTGTTTTTGAGTCAATATCTCTAGATTGATTATTTCAATTTGTTAGAATATTCTCTCGTCAGGGTAGGAAAATGTTAGTAAATTCAACAAGGCCCTAATACACGCTCTGAATACACAAAATCGAAATCTCAGCACAAAAAGACAGCACATAATTTCTTAGGTTTTAATTTACTTCTTTATCTGTGTTGTTTACAGCAGGAAAAGATTTTTGTTAAATACATGAACAATGCACATGTTATAAAAAATGTTATAAACAAACAAAAAAACATAAAAATGAAAAAAATGATACTTGTATAAATAATTGAACTCTCAAAAACAAAATAACAATTATTCAACTGACCTGTGATTGCTCCTTGACACACACACTAATAACAAATTTGATTGAACAATCAATTTAATGCAAAATAAAAATGAAAATTGAATAATGAATAACTACAGACACGCTACACGCTTCCAAGGGAACAGTCCCAGCTTGTTCTCTAGTCTCTCTAATGCCTAATCGCCTCTTCTCTACCTCCCGTTCGGTTCGGTACCCTTTCAGTACGCTTCACGGCACATACAAGGTTGCAACATTTATATATTTTATTTTTATTCAGTGAACATTTTTTTTTTAACTTGAGATTTGAAGAAATAATATTTTAAATAGGTGGTTCTCCTCACCAGAGTTGATAAAAGTTCAAATTTTGACTATTACCGGTTCTTGATTGGCTCTAGGAAGGTTTTCCAAAGAATCAAGAGCCGGTAATAGTTCAAATTTTGCTTATATTATCGGCTCTTGACCTTTGAATTCCATTAGAAAATGCTCTAGCGAATCCAGAGTTGATAAAAGCTCAAATTTTGACTATTATCGGCTCTTGATTGATGTCGCAAAAGACACTTTATTAATGACTGAGATGGGTCCCTGTTTCCCCTGTAGTAATCATAACTGAGATGGGGCCCTGTTTCCATTGATGTCGCCTCCTTATTTCCCTTATAGCCACCCCGATCTTCGCTACTGATGAGGAGGCTCTGCGCGCCGTATTTATAATAATATATCGCTGACGGTGCAATCATGTAGGCGAAACTTATGATGATAATATGATGCACCTCATTTTAAGTTTTACTATATTTTCCTTTAGTTTTGTAGACCTATTAATACGTTGTCCATAACTCTTTGAAATGTTGCTGGGGCATTCTTTAATCCAAAGGGCATACAGTTAAATTCATAATGTCAATTTTCTACATTAAAAGCTGTTTTACTTATTGAGTTTGGATGCATTTCAACTTGGTGGAATCCAGAAACTAGAGTAGTAAACTAATTACTTCTTCCAAGTCTGTCGAGAATGTCTGTTATATTGGGTAATGGGTATCAATCGTCTATCATTTTTTCATTGATTTTTCTATAATTTACGACCTGTTTTCCCTGAGGTGGCCTCCTTCCTCCCCTTATAGCCACCCCGATCCTCGCTACTGATGATTGTTTCTCTGAGACACTGATCTGCGGCTATTAAGGGTCCCATTCACGTTGAGATCGGTAGCGATACATGTTCCAAGTATCAGTATCTTGATATCAGATGGTATCGCCGCCTGTATCACTGTAATTAAACTTCAATACCGACCGAACGCATGCAACTGATACTGGTTTTAACGTGTATGTTGAAGTTTATTATAGCTTTGTTCCAACCCAGCAGACAACCGTAATATTACCGTCAGGATTTTGCGAAAAACCTAAATTTTTTGTGTAGAAACCGAAATTTGTATACAGAGTGCCAGAGTGGTTCCGAAACCGTTGTGGGGCGGTTTTTTGACGGGTTGGAACAAACCTTATGTATCGCGCTACTAAAATATAAACAGTGAGTTTGGGAGGCGGAGTGGCGGTTTTGAGAGGAATTTTTGAATTTTTATAAATCATATTATCATATGTTTATGGAACTCCTGATTCAAAGAATATTCAAATAGGCAACTTAGAGAATCCGTATTCAGTTTCTTCTACGCGCCCTGTATATAGTTGTAGATTAAATTGGGTATTTAGGATGTCAAATCCTATTTGGAAATGGAAATTGATTCGTTTTTTTTTTTCTTAGTTTTTGTTTTCTTTTATTCTAATTGAATTGCGCGTGCTATATGCCTAAGAATTGATACGGCTTTGCTAAATTTGGCTTTTAAAAATGCGCGCGTTAAACACTGAAAAATACCAGCAAAGTCCTTATACTGCCGACAAGTAAAGTCATTCGCTAAAAACACTCCGCCCGTTTTGTGTGGTTCGAGAAAATAGACCCGCGGGTTTTTGTTTGCCGCGATCGGTTAAATCAAGACGGTTTCGTTTGCACTCCTTCGCATTGGACTTGAACTTCCTGAAAGAGCTGGCCAACGGAGTGGAGTTTGGAAGTAAAGCCAGGTATCGATACCGATCTCAACGTGAATGGGGCCGTTTACTGATACTCCGAAATCGCGTGAATCTTCTGCTTGAGATTCACAGACTGGCAATCTTTTGTGTGATAATCTGACACTCTGTCACTGACATTGACGTGAACGCGTGAACCCTCTACCTGAGATCAGAGAATTCACGTGCCTGCACTTATGCATATCGCCGCCACTGAATACTTTTTGCATATCAAATTTAAATCTCGTATCACAAATCTAATTATGACTTTATTTAGGATCTCGACGGTGTTGAAGCATTTTTCGATAAGAATTCTATTCCGGGCAAAAACACGTTCACCCCAATAGAAGGTGCCGTTTTCGAGCAACCAACAGAAGAAGAATTATTTAGCAGTGGCACAATCAAATATTTCTCTCAGCCCATAGGAATAATTGTGGCAAGTTCACACGAAATTGCCCAGGAAGCTGCTGAATTAGTAGAAATCACATACAAACTATCAACAGAAAAGCCACTTCTTTCCATTATTGATGTATTAACACGAGGGGATACAACTAGAATAGTGCAAGAGCACATAGAAGAACCAACTAAAAAAGGTGCTCTGAACAATACAAGGCAAATTAGTGGAAGTTTTAATGTATCGTGGCAATATCATTACCATTTGGAAACTCAATGTTGCAGCGCTATACCAAAAGAAGATGGGATTGATTTGTATCCTGCGAGTCAATGGATGGATTTGACACAATGTGCTGTTGCAGCTGTGTTGAATATACCAGCAAATAGGTTCGTACTGGAAGAAGTAACAATATTTGTTTCTAATGTATTTTTTTTTTAGGATAAACATTTCAGTGAAAAGGCTCGGAGGTGCTTTTGGTGGCAAAATAATGCGAAACGGTCAAATAGCAGCTGCAACAGCATTGGCATGTCACCTTTTGAAAAAGCCTGTTAAAATGTGGCTACCTTTTGAAACCAATATTAGTGCTATCGGCAAACGATATCCAGTATCGAGTAAATACAAAGCCCACGTGGATAGTAATGGTATAATTCAAAGTCTCGACAATCAAATCTATTATGATCACGGGAATGGAAATAATGAGCAAATAGTTTTTTTCATGCGTGAAGTTTATATGGAGACTTATGATAGTTCTACTTGGCGGACGGATACTGGAATTGTATTTACGGATACTCCTGCAAGCTGTTATACTCGAGCACCAGGTAATTAGATTATTAAAGTTTTCAACGAAAATCTAATGAGCAACATTTTTTCTAGGTACCGCAGAAGGTATCTTATTAATTGAATCAATTATGGAACAAATTGCCATGGAAATCGGCATGGATCCGTTAGAATTGAAGTTGAAGAATCTAAATAACAAGCATCCCAAGTTATTGGAGCACATTAATGATTTTCTTAATTGGGCAGATATTTTCGAAAGAAAATTACAAATAAATAAATTTAATGAGGTAAGCATTGAAAAAAAAAAACTGTATTATTTATTTTTTCGACCGTGCGCTAATTATATTTTTCGTTCAGTGAGTCTTGTTTTTAAAAATTATTTATTTTATTAAAAACTAAGAAATACTAGATTCGAAATTGCTGGGGCGAAAAGCCGATAATAAAGGAATCTTGATTCTAAATTGCTATAGTCTGAGCTGAGAAGTCTGCGTGCCGTATTTATAATAAAATACTGCTGACGTTTGCATTCATATGGGCGAAGCCTTGATATGATGGTACTTTTCCAGTGCAGTACCGCTTAGTCAGCAGTTTTATAATATTGTGGGCTTCTACAGAGGCGTACGCTTATAATAAATATTGAAAAGATAATAATAATAACATAGGGATTTATAATACCTCCTTCCTTAAGTGATTGCAAATTGGGATTGGCTAACAATGTTGGACAATTCAGTCTGTACCTCAGTTTCAGTTTTACTACATTTTCCTTTAAAATATACTGATTGAAGAGCTTCATGGTCGACTGCCTCCAGTCTTACAGTTGTGGTATTCTCTAGAAGTTCAGGAATGTCGATGATGGGTTATACTAGTTCTAGGTTGAAGTTCTCATGCGTGTCTCCCAAAAATGTTCGATTGTTAATTGTTATTGAACATTTACGTTTGGAAATTACGATTGGACTGAAAATGATTTCCATGTATTTCTTCTGGTCACATTGTAGCATTGCTGTTACATGTCGTTTTGGAATAACCAATACTTGATTATTGGGTATTTCTAGACGTTGTGGCGGGTTAAGTCTTTCCATGATTAATTGTCAAACCATATTGAACACAAATACCGTGACAGTTTTGAAGTTTGACAGTTCGATCGGTTAAAAAATCGCTTCCGGAAACAGTACCTCTAAATGAATCGCCCTAGAATGTGATCTCTCAATAGGACTATTCGAATTAGGATTTCCAGGTGTCGTATAATGAAATTCGTAAAGTACTTAAATCTGTTAAAATTGCATTTTTAAATTTAGTTTCGTTATCAGAAGTAATACTTTGTGGAATTCCATGGTCACTGAAATATTCTAATAATTGTGATGCAATCTCAACTGAAGTTTTGCTAATAATTGGGATAGCTTCTGCAAACTTCGAAAAGCTGTCAATAATTGTTAGAAATTTTTGATTCGAAATAATGTATGTATCAATATTAAGGTGTTCATAGGGTTTTGTACCGATTGGAGTTGTTCTGAATATTATTTTGTAAGGTTGCCTTTCATATTCGTTTTAAAACATATTTCACATGTTCGGACATATGCTTATACATCTTTTTCTAAATCAGGCCAATAATATCGGGATTACTTACAAGGCACGATGCTTGAAACTGTATCACTTTAACTTTGTACAATTTGGTTGGGTCTTGTTGCTTCTTTTCTTCAGGTAATTTTTACAAAAAGTGGAACGAACTGGGCTAAACTTTTTTTTTTCGAAAATTCAATCTCAAAACTCTATAGCACTCTGAAAAACATCCGCTCTGAACTGCGCCAATTATAATTTTCGTTCAGTAAATCTTGTTTTCAAAAACTACTTATTTTATTAAAAACTAAAGAAGTTGCAACAAAAAATACTAGACTCTAGTTGCTGCGGGGAAAAGCCGATAACAAAAGAATCTTGATTCTAAATTGCTATAGTCTAAACTACAATACAAATGAATGAGCTGAGAAGCTCTGCGCGCCGTATTTATAATAAAATACTGCTGACGCTCGCATTCATGTGGGCGAAACCTTGACATGACGGTACTTTTTCAGGCAATAATTTAACATCTTTATAATATTGTGGTCTTTTACAGTAGCGTATGCTTATATTTAACATTGGGAAGGGGAATTATTAGTATAATAATAACATAGGGTTTTATAATATAACTCCTCCTTTGACTAACAATGTTGGGCAATTCAATCTGCACCTCAGTTGAAGTTTTACTATATTTTCGTTTAGTGTTGTAAACCTATTAGTACGTTGTCCATAACTCTTTGAAATGTTGCTGGGGCATTCTTTAATCCAAATGGCATACGGTTAAATTCATAATGTCCAAACATTTTCTGGATTTGTTTATTCACTTCTTTTTTATGAATATGAGGATATCTATACGTCTTTCTGTGAACTGGAATTTCGTTTTTGGTCTTAATTTCATGTTTAACTTGATTTGTGAATGATAATTTATCATTTGGTTTGTGAAAGACTCTAGGCAACGAATTGACAAGTGTTTTTAAAGCTTTAACTTCTTATGAGTCAGCGAAATGAGTTCAATGAGCTCTCGTGAGAGCTCGTCTCGGCCTCGACGAACAGTCACCCTGGTTGCGAGGGAAATTTGGATTTGCTGTACATTCATGGTCAAGGTTGAAACCTCTTGCTCAAGAGCTTCAATGGTGTCAATTTGACCAGGAATTTGGGTGAGGGTAATGAGTGTCTGCCGAAACAGGGGCCAGTAGAAGTATTTGTAACTTAGACGAACTTGTGTGTGTACTAGACTCTAATTGCTGCGGCGAAAAGCCGATAACAAAAGAATCTTAATTCTAAATTGCTATAGTCTAAACTACAATACAAATAAATGAGCTGGGAAGCTCTGCACGCCGTGTTTATGATAAAATACTGCTGACGCTAGCATTGACGTGGGCGAAACTTTGATATGACGGTACTTTTCCAGGCAGTACCGCGTATTCAGCATCTTTATAATATTGTGGGCTTTTACAGTGGCCTACGCTTATATTTAACATTGAAAAGGAGAATTATTAGTATAATTATAACATAGGGTTTTATAATATAATTCCCTCCTCTTTGAGTGGTTTCAAATTGGGATTGACTAACACTGTTGGGCAATTCAATATGCACCTCAGTTTCAGTTTCACTATATTTTTCTTTAGTTTTGTAGACCTATTAGTACGTTGTCCATAACTCTTTGAAATGTTGCTGGGGCATTCTTTATTCCAAAAGGCATACGGTTAAATTCCTAATGTCCATTTTCTACATTGAAAGCTGTTTTACTTATTGAGTTGAGGATGCACTTCAACTTGGTGGAGTCCAGAAGCTGAGTCTAGAGTAGTAAAATAATTATTTCTTCCAAGTCTGTCGAGAATGTCTGGGTTATATTAATTTTTATAATATAACTTGCGTTCTTCTATTGAAAGTTCCTTATTAAGGCTTTTCCGAATTCACTTTTCATAAAACTAGAAATAATTACTTTGGAAAAATGTCCAAAATTGATTCAATAAACTGCATTCAATCTTTTATAGGAAAACAAATGGAGAAAAAAAGGTCTCTCAGTAGTACCAATGGCATATCCGTTTCCTATGGTATTCGGATACGGTGCGATAGTATCTATATACCATGTAGACGGATCTGTAGCTGTAGCACACGGTGGAGTAGAAATGGGCCAAGGAATTAATACAAAGGTAAAATTTAAATTTACTCTTTCGCACAAATTTTTAATTAAGCAATTTTATCACGTTCGTGATTCCGTACAAAGGCCGTCATTCCATGTAGCTTTAATAATTGAAAAATGCTATATGCTTTTAACGTGTACGGCTTTCGTACATTGAACCAAATAGGCAATTTTAAATTCATATAAGATTGCATAGTGCATAAAGGAAATGAAATGTCATGAAAAATTACGGAAGGTAGACGTATCGTTAATATTTATATTTTGTGCGGTATTTTATTCATATTCATAGTTTCTTCTGAATATGACCACCCTAAATTCATGTACGTAATTTATTTTCCTCTTTCTGAGAATTCATGCCGTTTACTGAGGTCTTGCTTGAAAACAGATCACGAAACCGTCTTTTCTAGTGGAAAAAGTTCAGATCCCATCAGGTAATGAGTATTTCAAAACTTTATTCCAGAATTATTTTCTCAAATAACAAACCACTATTCTAGACCCTGCTAGATTATGCAATACGTGCTCTGTAGAACAATGAGGAGAAATCTAGATGTCGCTGGTTTCGAAAACATCTTGATACCATTATAGAATAGCAGAAAACAAGATGGAAATGACTTCCAATATACTATCATGGGTGTGAGGCTAAATAGCTAGTGGCATCATCTCTACGAAGTCCTAAAATGCATAGAAATCAAAATAGATAAATTCCTAACCTTAATCTCGTTTGCATAATAATATTTAAATTTGTCATTATAGTACTTATTCTGTCTGCTTCCTTTATAGTCTACTCTATATTAATGTAAATTGGAGCATTAAAAGTTCAAAAAGAGAAAGCCGTCGTTAAGCCGATAAAGTCTAGGCGGAAAATCCACTTGGTCTCGGTGCTTGGAAATAAAATATTGTTAACTGGATTTAAATTATGATGCGGAGTATTTTTTTACATTAAACTTATATGTAGGTAGTATAAAATCGAAAATAATATTTCGATTAAAAACAGAGGAAAATCGTCCATTTAAAGTTTTAAGAGTTGCTTAAGCCCTTAGAGACGATTATCTTCTAACTTTACTCGGAATGAGAAACTAAAACTTTTGTCGCTGGCTTAAGGGAAAAATTAGATCTTTTAAAGGGCTAGTTAACAAATAAAACGATGTGGGTAATATAACTTTTTATTTTCTAGGTTGTAGAAGCTTGTGCTTTCAAACTAGGAATTCCAGTGGAAAAAATAGCAGTCAAAGCGAGCAATAATTTAATTGCACCCAATGCTTCAATGTCTGGAGCCAGTATAACTAGCGAATCAGTTTGTTGGGTAAGCACCAGGAATACATCCATAAAATCCATTGTAAATTTGGCCTGTTTGAAAATTCAAATTCAAATTGATTTTCCTTCAGCCTTCAGCAAACACAACTACAAAATAAATTCACGCAATTTTTTGTCATTTACATTCGACTATTTACCTCTAGCTATGACTGTGTAGGTAAACTTTTTTTTTTTAACTGCAATTGGATTAATTTTTCATGCGAGTTTAATTTATCAGGAACACGCTTGTCGGGTGAACATCAACATTGAAACACGTTATTGCACTCAGAAAAAAAAACAGCTCAATCATCAATTTGATCCAGATTAATTTAGCTTGAAATAAAATATGGGGAAAAATGAAATCAAAAACTGCCTATATGAACAATTTTTTTACTACAAAAATGTGGATTAAGCCCGGTTGGTACAGTCGAATTGCATTTGGGATCCCCCAATCTCCATGCACTAAATTATTCAGAGATTTGAATCCGAAATCTTTGAAAAAAGACTCTCAGAAAATTTGAAAAAATTGATTGACCCCAAAGTGCTTAACGCGATTTTATTACTGAAATCCAATCCAAAATCCGTCCAAATGAGCTGAAATTCAGGGATTGTAGTCCTCTACTAAAATAAGAATCGCTGAAAATTTCAGCTTTCTATCTCTAAAAGAAAAAAAGTTATGATTTTTCAAATTTGTCAGAGATCTAGATCATAAGGTACCTACCTTAGTATAGTTTATACGAAGTCAATCCGAATAGCATAAAAACTGTGTTAGGCGGCATCTTCTTATAAAATTAAGCATATTATTATGCGTGCAATAGCTTAGGAATTCTCAAGGACGAAGAATTCTAATTCTCATTCCTGTTGCACGCATATGCTTAATTTCATAAGAAGATGCTGCCTACATAGTTCTTATATTGTTCGGCTTGACTTCGTATAAACTACCATTATACTAAAATGATGAAATTTCAAATTTTTTCATGTTGAGATTTTGTGTCTAAATTATCAATGGGGACCCTTCAAATTCCATACACTAAATTATTCTGAGATTTGAAGCCGAAATCTTTGAAAAAAGGCACTCAGAAAAATTGAAAAAATTGATAATCTAAATTGCTTAACGCGATTTTATTTTTGAAACTATAAGTCCAAATGAGCTGAAATTTTCAGGGATTGTAGTCCTCTACTAGAATAAGAATCGCTGAATAAAAAACGTATGATCTTTCAAAGTTGTCAGAGATCTACAATCCAAAATACATATGTACAAGTGTATCTATACAGTTGTCTAATATTAAGAGGCAAATCTGCAGTTTTATTTTCCTGGAAAACTTTTACAGACCGGACCAACCTACTAGACACATAGTGAGTTATGAGACGAATTAGCTTGTACCCGGTTTAAAGGGCTGTGTTGCCGAGCTGCCGAAGATGAATAGATTTTGGTTCAAGCTTATGTGTCTAATAACTTGGTCTTGTCTGCATATCTAGTTTATAGTGCACTTGATTTATAGAATATTCAATATGCATGATCCAAATTACATATCAATTTACTCTAGGGAGTAATGAAAGCTTGCGACATTTTATTAGAAAGAATGGCTCCAATCAAAAAAACCTTATCCCCCAATGCCAGCTGGGAAGAAATCGTTAAACAATGCCAAACAGAATTCGTAAACCTATGTGCCAGTTCCATGTAAGTAAGAAGTTTAATTTTTTTAAAATCAAAAATCATTTTCCAACAAATTTAGGATGCAAGGGCCAAAAGAAAAAGACCTACAACAGTACTACGTGTACGGCGTATGTGCAAGTGAAATCGAACTAGATGTTTTGACAGGCCAATATCAAGTTACTAGAGTTGATTTGCTAGAAGATACAGGCGATAGTATGAATCCTGCAATAGATATTGGACAAATAGAGGGTGCTTTCATTATGGGCTTGGGCTATTTTTGTACCGAAGAAATTATACTAAGCGAAGAAGGAGAAACTTTGACAAATAGAACGTGGAACTATAAACCTCCAGGTGCCAAGGATATACCTGTAGATTTTAGGGTTAAGTTTCCTAAAAATTGTCCCAATGCTGTTGGTGTACTTAAGTCAAAAGGTAATATGTGTTGCTTTTTATTTAAAAAAAAAATCCTCATAGAAGAAAATATTTAAGCTGTCGGTGAACCGCCACTATGTTTAGCAGCTTCAATCCCATTAGCCATCAAACAAGCTGTAGCTCCAGCTAGAAGCGAGTTTGCTCCATCAGCTTCAAAATGGTATCCGATTGGTACGTAATTTTTCAACCCTCAACTGTCAAAAATATCAAATTTTCTTCATTACAGATGGCCCTTGTACTGTAGAAAACACCTATAGAAATTGCCTTCACCAATTTAAGCACTTTACCCTTTAATTATTCAAGTTTAATATAAAATTAGAGGGTGCAGGTACATTAGTTAAATTAAACCAAGTAGGTAGGAAGATTATATTTCAATAAAGCCTTTGAAATCTCAAGAGTTTATTATTTATAAACCTTTTTTTCATGAAACTGAATTTTACCTGGTATAATAATAATAATAATAATTGATCAGTTATATTTGGAACCTTCAAGTGAATACAAGGATAGTGTGTTAGTGTTTATTTTGATTTTTAATGATTCTGGTGAAAATATGGAGAGTCAAGAAGAAGGTGAGTTTATACTATTTATATATAGTTATTTAAGCCTAGTGGGGATGAAAAAAAGTACAGGGTGAGTCATTATATTTTGACACCCACCTGCAGCCGTAATTACAAGTGATAGGTAAAAGGTATAAATACAAAAGTTGTAGCATTTTATCTGAACCACCAGAATTTTTAATTAGATTGAACAAATGATCAACACAAAGTGAAAAAATATGTCACATTTCAGTATTTTTAAATGGAATGCCCTTTATTTTCTTTCAAATTCTTACAGTTCTCGTTTTTCTGATTAAGATTATATAACATGTTAATGTTTCTTTCAATAGTTTTGAAAATATCTGGAGATTGGTTATTCAAAGACAGTAGTTTTTTCAATATATTTTACCTTGATTTACCTGTCACCTGTCCCAAAATATTCTTATATGTGAATAGGTCTTTGAATAACTAGATCTTTAATAGTTGGGGAGCTGGCGTCAAAAACATGCAAGAGTTTTCGCAAGGCGGATATTTTCAAAATAGGTCGTACTTTAGTGCTAGAATGCTAGTGTACAGTCAGCACTCACAGTTCCGGGACAGCTGGCTCTGGGACGCGGGCAAAGTTGTAATTTTAAGAAGCATCTAAACTGTTTTCTCAAAGCTCAAAATTTATAGAAATTTTGCACATTATCTGTTTGAAGGTCACAGATAACGTATGTAAATCGTCAGACGTCTAGTTCGTTGCAAAAAGGGGGTCAGACGTCCTCAAAGTTTTTATTTTATGGCATTTTCTTCAAATATATTTGTCAAATACCTGCAAAAATATATTTTGACAGGACACCGAAGAAAATGCCATAAAATAAAAACTTTGAGGACGTCTGACCCCCTTTTTGCAACGAACTAGACGTCTGACGATTTACATACGTTATCTGTGACCTTCAAACAGATAGTGCGCAAAATTTCTATAAATTTTGAGCTTTGAGAAAACAGTTTAGATGCTTCTTAAAATTACAACTTTGCCCGCGTCCCAGAGCCAGCTGTCCCGGAACTGTGAGTGCTGACTGTACACTAGCATTCTAGCACTAAAGTACGACCTATTTTGAAAATATCCGCCTTGCGAAAACTCTTGCATGTTTTTGGCGCCACCTCCTGGACTATAAGAATTTGAAAGAAAATAAAGTGCATTCTATTTGAAAAAAGCGAACATTGACATATTTTTTCACTTTGTGTTGATCATTTGTTCAATCCAATTAAAAATTCTGGCGGTTCAGATAAAATGCTACAACTTTTGTATTTACACCTTTTACCTATCCCCTGTAATTATGACTACAGGTGGGTGTCAAAATATAATGACTCACCCTGTACCTATATGGTGCATGCTAAATAAACTAAGTTTTTGTTCGATACATCCCAAAAAAAAGGACGCCAGGAAAATTGAAAAAGCGTAAAATTAATGAGAATAACTCACATTTGAATGAGTCAGGTTAGTATCGTACTTAAACAAAATATTGGTGAATAAGTTCCTGGGTCCACCCATAAGTTCCGCAACAATCCACTCGTTTATACTTGAATAACTTGTCACAATATATTACTAGTTTGGTAAAGTAACATTACTAATTTCTGTTGAAAGGCAAATTGGCAAAAAGTGTATAATTTTACAAATTTTGATTTTTAAGTTATTGTTCAAGTACAAATAATAATTTATTGCAGAACTTATGAATGGACCTCTGCGGGACGAGCGCAGCAAGTTCCGCAGCCATCTACTCACCAATATACTGTTGAACTGTTCAAATAAGACACTCACCTGAAACGTGTACTTTTTAACCTAATGAGAATAACTCACATTTGAGTGAGTCAGGTTAGTATCATACTTGAACAACATATTGGTGAATAGATGGCTGGGTCTACCCATAAGTTCCACAACAATCCATTCGTTTGTACTTGAATAACTTTTCACAATATATTACTAGTTTGGTGAAGTAACATTACTAATTCCCGTTGAAAAGCAAATTGAAAAAAGTGGATAATCTTACAAATTCTGACTTTATATAATAAGTTACTGTTCAAGTACAAATAAGTGGATTGTTGCGGAACTTATGGGTGGACCTCTGCGGGACGAGCGCAGCGAGTTCCGCAGCCATCTACTCACCAATATAATGTTGAACTGTTCAAATAAGACACTCACCTGAAACGTGTACTTTTTAAACTAATGAGAATATCTCACATTTGAGTGAGTCAGGTTAGTATCATACTTGAACAACATATTGGTGAATAGATGGCTGGGTTCACTCATAAGTTCCGCAACAATCCGCTCGTTTGCACTTGAATAACTTGTCACAATATATTACTAGTTTGGTGAAGTAACATTACTAATTCCCGTTGAAAGGCAAATTGAAAAAAGTGGATAATCTTACAAATTCTGACTTTATATAATAAGTTACTGTTCAAGTACAAATAAGTGGATTGTTGCGGAACTTATGGGTGGACCTCTGCGGGACGAGCGCAGCGAGTTCCGCAGCCATCTACTCACCAATATACTGTTGAACTGTTCAAATAAGACACTCACCTGAAACGTGTACTTTTTAAACTAATGAGAATATCTTACATTTGAGTGAGTAAGGTTGGTATCATACTTGAACAACATATTGGTGAATAGATGGCTGGGTTCACTCATAAGTTCCGCAACAATCCGCTCGTTTGCACTTGAATAACTTGTCACAATATATTACTAGTTTGGTGAAGTACCATTACTAATTCCTGTTGAAAGGCAAATTGAAAAAAAGTGGATAATCTTACAAATTCTGACTTTATATAATAATTTATTGTTCAAGTACAAATAAGTGGATTGTTGCGGAACTTATGGGTGGACCTCTGCGGGACGAGCGCAGCGAGTTCCGCAGCCATCTCCTCACCAATATACTGTTGAGTTGTTTAAGTAGGACATTCACCTGAAACGTGTAGTTTTTAAACTAATCAGAATAACTGACATTTGAGTGAGTCAAGTTAATATCGTAATTAAACAAAATATTGATGAATAGATGGCTGCAGAGGTCCACCCATAAGTTCCACAACAATTCACTCATTTGTACAGGCCCCGCAACATAAGGTGGCGAAAAAGCAATTTGCGCACTAGACAATTTTTGGAGCCGAATATATTAGAGACTGGTCAATCAAATATAGACAAACTATATATTCTTGGAATCGGGGCATTGTGCTCTTCAAGAATATAGAATGAAATATAGGGCATCCTATTTGAAAAAAGCTGGAAGCATGTAAAATTTAACATTTCTGATATTCAAATTTTGTTTCTGACCATGGTTTCTAAAAATTCAGCCAAAATTGTACAACTTTTGTATTTACACCTTTATTCTACCTGTAAAGGTACAGGGTGTAGGTGGGGAGTCAATATATAAGAAAAACACCCTGTACCTACCTTAGTACTAATATCATAAAATTTCCATATTTTTTTATGTTGAAATTTTGAATCTAGGAAATAAGCGCACGGGAAAAAAGCGCACAGGAAATATGCGCACAGAAAAAAACGCACAGGAAATAACCGCACACGGAAAAAAGCGCACAAGGAAAAAAGCGCACAGGGAAAAAAGCGCACATGGAAGAAAGCGCACAGGGAAAAAAGCGCACATGGAAGAAAGCGCACACGGAAAAAAGCGTACACAGGAAAAATACTGAGTTATTATAAATAATAAATATACGTTCACTTTTATTGTACCAAAATAACGTAAATAAATTATAATACTAATAATATCCATACTAACTAGGGTATAAATAAACGAAAAATCACAGAGTATGATAATTTGTATTAAGGGCCCAATTATGGACCGACTGATAAGTGTCAGGTTATTTCCTAGCAGGTACTTTCCATGCTCTAGAGAGAATAGAAAGTACCTACTTGCTAGGTAACAACCTGACACTTATCAGTCGGTCCATAATTTGGCTCTTAATGTTGTAGTTTATGCAAATTGAGTTAGGGGGATGATGTTTTATGAAATAAAATAGTTATATATGAAATCATTTTTGTAATAATAAAATATAGAAGTTACACTGCCTAACTAGGAGTACCTAAGTGTAAGTATTATTGTAAATTTGCTATTCTTCTCAAGTAAGACAATTTGTCTCCGGTTTCTACACTACGTAACTGGCTCGAAAGTTAGGATAGACTAAAGAAATTTCTAACCATACCTAGGGCTTATTTATAAGACGACTTTTATTGCGTCTACAGGCCAATACCCCAAATAACACACAGCCATAATTATTAACATAACTCAATTTGCACAAATTACAACCAACATTTTACCAACACATTTTAAAATAATTGAATAAATTGAAATATTTCCAGAAAAGGTTCATCATAACCCTTAAAATTTAAAAGATAAATTTACATTAACAGGTACTATATTAGGCAATTCAAACCACGTGACACTCAAGATGGCGTGGCGGCCACACATGGGCCAAAAAACACAAAAAAAATATCTAGTTTCCGCCCGATTTATTAGTTTAGGTTCCAAGTCCACAAATATCTGATTAAATAATCAAAATCAAAGTTGCAAGTAAAATTCTAAGCGAAATAATTTAAAATACGCATAAAAACATATTCAAAACTAACTTGCTTGGCCGCCACGCCATATTGTATTTTCCTTTTTGACAGATGGATTGAATTGCCTAATTAATAGATTTGCCCAACTGAAATTGTTTTCTAAATTAAAATTTAAGTGTAACTTTTGGGGGCAAATCCAGGAAATCTGGGATAAATGACTTCTATGCAAGTTTTAAGAAACCAAAAATTGTCAAATTTGGCTCCCATACCTTATCAGGAAATATGGTCACCGCCCTGTAAATT